CCATCATTTGGGTGCCGTCATATACTGGGATCACTGGACGCATGAGCTTGCAGATTGATAACTCAGCTAAAACTACTCAAAATGCTAACTAGCCCTGCTATGTTCCAATGTCCGATGGAGTCAGAGCACCATCTAAAGCAAATCAATAGGATGATGGAGGAATAAATAAAATCAAATTCAAGAGAAAGAATACAAAAATTACTGGAGTTAAGTGAAGACTAACTACCTACTTAGAAACAAATTATAATGTTAATATATCCAAACTAAAACAACTGCAGTTAGCAATAATAGGATGTGAACAAGAATATACAGGGTGTCCCAGAATATGTGGACAATCTCTCGGTTTCAGATCGAACACAAAAAAATACCATGACAACTTCCCCTAAAAAAAAAAATTCCTACGTCCCCCCCCTACGAAGTTACGTGCCCCTAAAGGACGCCTCTGAAAATCGGTTTTTTGTTGATAACTTTCAAAATACTTCATGTAATTTTTTTTCTTTTAATGTGATGGATACTAGATAAGACCCCTTGGAATGGACCCTTCCAAACACACTTGGCGAATCTAGTTTGCCAGGGACGGATTAGCTTTAACACAATAATGCTAAAAAAAATTACACTCTGTATGATATAGGCATAGCAATAATATTTTTATTTTCTACTTTACTATTATAGATCCATAATACCTAGGAAACGAAATACGTTAACACACCTATAACAACCTGATCCATAACGCCCGCTTTTGCGGGCGTTATGATCTATAACGCCCGCTTATAATACCTTAAGGTGTTTTTGTTGTTGTTGTTTTATTAATTTGCACTTTACCCTAGGCAGCCACTAAATGTCTGACCGAAAATAATTTTCGGTCTAGCCAGGATTCGAACCCGGTCTACCATCAATGTTTCCCATGTAGTCCAGCGCGTTAACCCACAGGACCACCACCGTTGCCTTGCCTTATGAGATGTTTATAGATATATTAATTTATTTCGTTTCTATGTACAGGTCGCAGGTACAGGTACAGGTCACAGGTACAGGTACATGTCAAAATACAAAACAATATTCTGTCACACAAGTTTAACTGATTTTGTTAATAACAAATTGATGAAAAAACATTGTGTTGAGTAGAAAATAAAGCATTGTATGCACCACGGGGATTTCAAGATTATAATGCCCTTCAGGCGAAATATATCCCTCGGGCCATCTTGGTACATAAATAGCTATTATTTTCTACTTTACTATTATAGATCCATAATACCTAGGAAACGAAATACGTTAACACACCTATAACAACCTGATCCATAACGCCCGCTTTTGCGGGCGTTATGATCTATAACGCCCGCTTATAATACCTTAAGGTGTTTTTGTTGTTCTATTAATTTGCACTTTACCCTAGGCAGCCACTAAATGTCTGACCGAAAATAATTTCCGGTCTAGCCAGGATTCGAACCCGGTCTACCATCAATGTTTCCCATGTAGTCCAGCGCGTTAACCCACAGGACCACCACCGTTGCCTTGTCTTATGAGATGTTTATAGATATATTAATTTATTTCGTTTCTATGTACAGGTCGCAGGTACAGGTACAGGTCACAGGTACAGGTACATGTCAAAATACAAAACAATATTCTGTCACACAAGTTTAACTGATTTTGTTAATAACAAATTGATGAAAAAACATTGTGTTGAGTAGAAAATAAAACATTGTATGCACCACGGGGATTTCAAGATTATAATGCCCTTCAGGCGAAATATATCCCTCGGGCCATAGGCCCTCGGGCTAGTTTCGCCTTCGGGCATTATAATCTACATAATCCCCTTGGTACATAAATAGCTATTAGATTGTTTCAACCTTGAATTATTAAGAAGGTAGGTACTCTTATTCGATGTCAAAAAAATGAGCTGGTTTCGAGAAAAATCAGTTTTTGTGTATTAATGTTTTTTTATTAAATAATTTTTTATGTCGATTCAACATGAAATCCTTCTAATCTTATGCATTCCATAACTATTTTAATGAAAGATTGTTCGACTCTCGACAATGCTTCATTATTAGCCCTTATTTCGCGACAGTGAAAATAAATCCTTTCTACTAATATTTCCTCCGTGTCATTATTACGTTAAAGCTAGTCCGTCCCTGGCAAACTAGATTGGTCAAGTGTGTTTGAGAGGGTCCATTTTAAGGGGTCTTATCTAATAGTCATCATATTAAAGGAAAAAAATTTACACAATATATTTTGAAAGTTATCAACAAAAAACCGATTTTCATAGAGGCGTCTTTTAAGGGGCACGTAACTTCGTTGGGGGGACTGTAGGAATTATTTTTTATAGAAAGTTGTCATGCTATTTTTTTGTGTTCTATCTGAATCCGAGAGATTGCCCACATATTCTGGGACACCCTGTATAATATAAAAATATTATAAAATATAATAAAAATGTAAAATGTTCAGGTTTAAATATTGATGAAAACCTAAATTAGAACAAACATATTATTAAAATGATTCGAACCACTAATTGGATTATTATATAGAATTCGATCCTACCTATTAAATATCTTTATTTCTTACTGAACTATTATAACCATATAATACCTTGGTTACGATAATCATAAACAGGGTCTTAACTCCCAAGGGAGTTAAGGATTTCATAATTCCCGCGCGGGAGTTAAGGATATCATAACTCCCAAGGGAGGTAAGGATTTCCTTAACTCCCCCTTTTACCTTGAATAGGTGAAACTTTGACAAAAAATAGAAATTTTGGTTTATGGTTTATTTCTTTATAAAAATGGACAAAATACAGTAAATTCAGTAGGAAATAAAATTATCTATGTACCACGGGAATTATCAGGTGTTAAATACCCACGGGCAATTTGTGTCCCTCGGGCCTTTGGCCCGAGGGACACAAACTTTGCCCTGGGGTATTAACACCCTCATAGTTCCCTTGATACATAAATAACTATTATTTACGACTAATGTATAATGTGCGTATTATGTTTGTGATTTTGGCAGTATAATGACATATGTTATTCCTCCAGGGATTAATGACGAGTAGCGGGATTAATGGTCATTATTCGACAAAAGTGTCAGTGTCAAACGTGTAGTGCTTGTGGATTTGTATTGAAAATTATGAGACGGATGAAATTTGTTCATTGAAAATCTCAAATAAATTAATTTGTCGTAAATAAAGTAGAGTATACTACTCGCAATAATGGCTATTATTCCCTCGGAATGTTCCTCGGGAATAATAGCTATCATTATTGACTTGTGGTATAATCTACTATAAATCAATATGTACCTATATTATGCATCAATTCACTCAAAACATCAATATTTAATTTCTATCGGGGATCAGTAAAAATCAAATATTTAAAATCTTGCAAAATATTGCAAAACAAAATAATAAATATTCATAAAGTTTGGAGAAACCAACTTATAATTTATATGTACCATGGACCAAATAATATTAAAAATTTAAACAAAATTGGAAAGTTTAAAATATTAGCAATGTATATTATTTAGGATTTATTGATTTTTTGGTTGAATGTAGGGTTTCCATAAAGGTTTTCTGGAATTCAGGACAAAGGAGTCAAGAAATCCGGACAAAATCCGGACTTCGCCGAAATAGCTATTTATGCAACAAGTATGTAAAGTGAACTTTTTTTTCACGAATATGCAATTTCACGCACGTAGCCGAAGGGACACACGTATTGCATACAATTTTTTTTCTACTACCAATAAAATATGTGTACACAAAAAAAATTAGACAAATACTTTACGCACTAGTGTCGACATCTGTCATTGACTCACACTAGTGTGTAAAGTGAATTACTTCACCTACTAGTGCGTGAAGTAAAATTTTACGTCTTCTGAATAATGCGTAAAGTGAGTACTTTACGCACGGTAGTAGAAAAAATAACATAAAATTTATATAAAGGATGAATTTTGTTTATTTTTCGCAAAATAGTACATTGTGTATGAGTCAAATTCAAATTGACAGCATAATAAATAACCGTGAAATATTTTTCTACTGCTCTAGAACCCTATTAAAAACGCACTACTAACTTGCCTAGAAAATCAATTATTTCGCACTGTGTGCGAAAAGTAGGTATTTTTCATCTGCGAAAAGTACTTTTCACCCTCTCCGACCGTGCGAAAAGTACTTTTTGAATTTTTGTTCTGCAATTATAGTCTTAAATTAGTTATTTATGATATAAGTGCTAAAAGTGACATTTTATTTTGTGAAAAGGGAAGTTTGGGACACGACGCCGAAGGCGGAGTGTTCCATCCCTTTGAACAAAATAAAATCACTTTTAGCACGAATATCATACACTATTTTTTCTAGAAACGCACTAAAAGTGATTACTTTTAGCACTAGTGCTAAAAGTAATCACTTTTAGCACCAGTGTCATAAAATGGCATTTTAGACACTGACAGCATCCGTTAAAAATGACACTTTTAGTGACGTTTGTAGAAAAAATAATTTTTTAACAAAAAAATAAATACCTACATAAATAAATCTCGATGTGAATATAGTTATAGTTATTTCGCAGTCGTAGAAAAAGTATAGTGTGTAACGGGTGTGAAAAGTGATACCTATTTTCAACACTTATTGCAAACAAAACAAGACGAAGTTATAGGTTGTTTTCACGATCTCCAAGTTTTCCGGACATAGTTCTGAATTCCGGCCGGACTTCCCCGGACACCCTAAAAACCCAAACATGTCCGGTTAAATCCGGACGTATGGAAACCCTAGTTGAATGCCTTCTTACTATTACTTCTACCTTTATGACATTTTCTCTTGTTTCATTTCTGAGTTGATCAAAATTCTGCCGTTATTTCTTAAAATTGATAAGCAATCAATCCCAATGAAACATGATGCAATTTCCTGAATCGCGCCTGTCGCTAGGAATCTTTCACCCACTTCAAATATTGTATCCCTTTTGAATATCGCCTGCTTAGTGAATACCTACTGTTGTCTTTCTATGTCTAATGTTTATTGATTTTTTTTTTAGAGACGTGGTCAAAACCTCTTTGAAAAACATTTTCAATTGGTTCCGATGGCAACCAAAACTAACCACACCACTACCAAAATTGACGAAAAATCGCAAACGAGAAGACAAAAAAGAAATTATGCCAAAACCGCAAAACAAAATTATAATTAAAGTGCTTGGAGGAAAAAATGTACCACAACGGAGAATCCATGATTCGGTCCGTGAAGATGAAGTGAAACCGTATCTGGAACTCAGTTATGAGGATTTCAGTAGTAAAACTATCGTGGCAACTGGTAGTGATCCTGTGTGGAATAGCTTGGTGGAATTACCATTGGAGTAAGTAGATTTAAATTTTAGATCAATTCAGTTCAATCCAAACTAACTACATACTATATAGATGACTTTTTTTTAAATATCTTATATACCTTTATGATATTGTGTTAATGAGTGGTAATTTATTTTCGTTTGAGAGAAAGTTCAAGCTCAAGTAGGTAAGTGAAGTGCCTCGTTCACGCCAAATAAATAACTTGAGATTGTAAGATACGTTTTGTTTTGAGTGAAATTGTGTATTTTAATGAACTTTAAATTAAATTAGAATTAACTGAATGTTGTGTAGCGATTACTATTTAATCTTATTATTAGATATTATCTGGAATTTAAGAATGAGAATGAAAAGTAAGATGATCTATTTTGAAATAAAAAAATCTGAAGAAGTAATCCAAGCAATTGCGTATACTCAAATAAAACTGATTTTTATGGAAATTACTACAGTATTTTAGGTACCTACACCTACCTATAACCGTTCCTCATAGGTTGCATCTTTGTGAAGAACTGTAATTTTTTGGAAAAATATACTCTTTTTTAGGTATCATCATACTGATTATCTGAATCCCAATGCTCTGAGTGGCTCAATTTCTGTCAATCTTTTCGACTGCATCCAAGAAACAGCTCCGGAAAATGAAATTCTTGAAAAAAATTGGCTCGGAGAAGTGAAAATACCTGTTGCCGAGTTATCTACAGGAATAAATGTATAAGTACATAAATATCGTTACCCATTGCTAACTTCTTAAAGAAATATTCTTCTAGCTGTCTGGATGGTTCCTTATAAAAAAGCCACCAATGCTATTTGGATATCAAACGTTCGAAGAAAAACAAATTTCATCTACCAAATCACCTAAACAGCACAAAACTTCTTCTGATGAAACCTATATTCATATGGATTTGTGTGTTTCACCCAGTATGCCTACATTGGAACCTAACATGGTACTTTTTTTTATATAAACCCACTAGCACTAATAAAATATACATAGTTAATTGATTATCATTATTGATGGAAAAATAAAGGCGAATAATGCAATTTTGTTTTATTATCTTAGATCGATCTGCAAACCAATGACGTGGCCTATATCAAAGATCACGTTCTCAAATGGATGGATGTATTTAATTCAAATTTTCCCAGTAGAAAAATAAGTGCTGTGGCTATTGATACCAATGGCCGTATGAATTGTATCACACGGTAAGTCCAATTTTGATTACTTGATAAAAAAATTTTGAGTACGTATACTCTAAAGTACTTATTCACAATTGATCTTGCCGTGAATTTAGTTCGATTAATTATGTGTAGATTAATTGCAAATAATTTCAGCCTATTATGCTCTCGTATAATATTAATAACTTGGTAGATATTAGTTTACCTCATGATGACAGAAACTTGAAGATATTTAATATATGTAGAACAAAAATGACCTCATTACAAAATGATGATTACGCAAAAGACCCGATGAAATCATTGCGAACTAATCATTCAAATTCACAGGAATTTAATGCTTCAAAACACGTTTTTAAAGCTTTTGCCGAAATTTTCCAAAAATCGAATCAAACATGAAATTGAAACAACGGATGAAATACCGGTGCACCCAAAAACGCATAGATACCTACAGGTGCATGAACAAGAAGTAAATTGTCAAATAAGAAAAATGTTAGAAGATAACATAATGAGATCATCATTTAGTCTCTGATCATTTCCTATATGCATAGTAGATACCTAAAAAGATATCCATATTAGACCGACTAATGAATGGTAACTATTTTACGCCACTAGATTTAGCCTCTCACCTCTGATTTTCATCAAGTCGAAATGCGTTGAAATTCGATACCAAAAACAGCTTTATAATATTGAAAATGGAAGAATTTAAAAGTATGCCGTTTAGACTAAAGAAGGCACCAGCAAGATTCCAAAGAGTATTAGACAATGAATTAGGTATTAGGATTACAGAATAGAATATGTCTAGTAGGTATACATGGATGACATCTTTTTTCTGCTTATCTTCAAGAGCAGATGAAAAATTTGACGAAATTATTTGAAAGACTAGAAAAATGTAGAAGGTCTTATAGTGTACCTATTGAGCGTTCATCATCATCATATAGCTACAAATGTCTTACCAGACATGTTGTGAATTCATAAAATGTATACCTACACTAAGTCAGAACTGGAGGATTGCCTTGAAACTTTGAAAACCACATTCCGCCATCTTTCGCGATTATTTGTCAATTCGGTCGCTCTTGTGACACTAACATCTAGCAGTTGTTTTGTCGCATCCACCTAGCGTGTAGGAGAATGACCACGACGTCGGTCGTCCTTTCGGGGCATGAGCCTGGACAACAAGTTTTTCCATATTATCACTTCTATGGACATGGCCGAAGAACATCAGGATACGCGTTGAAACAATGTAGGATAGTCGTTTTGTATTTCCGAGTTCGCTCAATATGGAAGCGTTAGTTCGGTGAGCTGTATAAGGAACTCTTAACATTCTTCTCGAAGTTCACATTTCAAATGCGTTTATGCGGTGGCGATTTGCCTTTCTAATAGTCCAAGTCTCAGAGCCATGCTAAAAGACAAAAGACCAGACAAACGACATTTCGTGATATGATTGTCACGTCAAATTTTAGTTTTTAGTCTCAGTTAGTCTTGCCAAAGTTGACCGCACTGTTCTAAGATGTTAAGTAAAGTTAACAATTCACCCTAAGAAGAAGTTTTTTTTTGCTAAGGTGAGGAAATGCGCCTTAGAGACACCCATCTGCCAGAATTGGGTAGTGTGGGGCTCTCCCTCTTCCCTTTTGTGTGCAATGAAGAGAGTATACTCACTAAAACCTCAACGCAGCAGGGACTAAACAGCACGGGATTTTCAACCTGTTTAACCAACGTCTCTTCGTTTGGAGTTTAAACCTCTTTTTCCACTTGCTTGAGGGAGTGCCTGTCGGTTTTGGTAGTTGTGAGCCTAGTCTGACCTGGACCGCCAGAAGCCGCTGTCCCTCTTCTTTGTGAAAACAATAACAACAAAAGTGTACGAAATTACTACGGTCGGTGGTGTAAAAATAAAAAAAAAGCAAACATGCCCTCTCAGTGCTTTAGATAGCAACGATGCGGACTCACGCAGTCAAATTTCACAATGGCTGAAGGCTGCGTCAAGTGCGCCAAAGACCTCGAACATTTGTGACCTGCAAAAATCTGGAAATAAGGACGAAAGAAACGCAAAGTGTGTAAACTGCGGATAAGGACACCCAGCTAGTTATCGAGGTTGCAAAGTATATCGTGTATCTCCATTGGACAGAAGGTAACAAAGCAAAACATATTAATAACCAAAACAAGAATAAGAACAAAAACACTATACCAAGACTTCTAATAATAATAATAACACACTAGAAACACAATAGAAACATTGAAACTTTTGATCTTATGAAGGCGATTCTATCAGCCATCCTGCAGCCAGTAGATCAATATCTCGAAAAAAGAAAATGAGTAAATTCACCATAGCATCATGGAATGTAAATGGACTTTCGGATACGAAAAACAGAAGTGGAGCACTTCCTGAATGAACACCAGACGCAACTACCAGCGTTGCAGGAAACTAAGTTGATTGACGCCAACAGGATGTCCTTCAAGGACTACTTTATCTACAGAAACGACAATCCTAACCCAAGACAAGGAGGAGTGGCACTCCTTGTAAGAAAAGATGTCACACAAAGCCAGCTTTATAAGATCCTTTCCGTTACCAAAAATAAGAATTGATGACGACATAGAAGAGGCAACACTAGCATAATGGCCATCAAGAACGCATATGATGCTAACTCAACAATCAAAACCATCTTAAAAGGATCCATAAATTCATTGCGAGCTAACCTTCAACAACTAGGAAAAATCGAAGATTGCGCCGAAGATATATGCTACCCCCCAAAAACTCAGAATTGAACTGAAAAATCATAGGAATTTAACTTAGAATACGAAATTGAGAAATCTAGAAACAACTAATAACTCTGCATGGCAAATGCAAAAGGCTCTTCTTCTTCTTATCACACCCTCTCCTGCCGAAGATTGGCGATCCAAATGGCAATTGTAGCTTTGGAAACTGCAGCTCGAAAGATTTCTGCAGACGAGCGGTGGAACCATCTCCTTAAATCTTTTAGCCATGAGTTCTGGCGTCTTCCTATACTGATCTTTTTCCATGTATTTTGCCCTCCAATATGAAGCGTAGTATTTCGTATCTATCACCTCTCATCACATGACCCAGATATTGCATTTTTCTTTCCTTGATGGTGTTCAGTAATTCTTTTTGTTTGTGTATGCGCTGGAGTACTTCATCCTTGGTGATCCTTTGTACCCATGAAATTCGCAGCATCCGTCTATACACACACATTTCGAAGGCTTCTATTCTCTTTTCGGTCTGTGAATCTAGTGTCCAGCTTTCACATCCATAGAGAAGGACAGAGAAGACGTAGCATCTGATCAATCGAGTTCTGAGTTCTAAGCTAAGGTCTAGTCTTGTAAAAAATGTTTTCATACTCATGAAGATTTTCCTCGCTTGCTCAATCCTTGAAAGTATTTCCCTTTTCGGGTCGCACTGACTATTGATGTTAGCTCCCAAATATTTTATTGAGGTCACTTGTTGTTCGTGTTCGATTGTTTGTCTTTTGACACGCAGGTGTGCATTTATTGGAATCTTAGAAAAGACCAATAATTTGGTCTTGGAAACATTGAGATGCAATCCAAACATTTCGCTATGGTGAACTACAGAATCCATGATGCTTTGTAGTTCTTCTACATCGTTGGCTATTATAACCGTATCATCGGCGTACGTGATATTGTTTATTGGGGTTCCATTAATCTTGATTCCTCCCTGGACCCCATCCAGTGCCTCTCTAAATATAGTTTCCGAGTACAGATTAAACAGGAGTGGAGACAAGACGCACCCTGTCGAACACCCCGTCTGATTTGCATATCTTCCGATGTTGATTGTTCCATCTCTACTACCGCCGTTTGATGCCAATAAAGTTCTGATATGAAGCGTAGGTCTTGTTCGTCAACTCCGGTTGTTCTTAGCATTTCGATCATCTTCTGATGATTAACACAATCGAACGCCTTTCGATAGTCTATGAAACATGCAAATACATTCACATTGTGTCATTACATTTAGGGAAAAGAGTGCTTCGCGCGTTCCGAGTCCGTTTCGGAATCCAAACTGGGTGTTGTCCATCTGATATTCGCACTTCTTGTAGATTCGCGTGTGGATGATTCTAAGAAAGGTTCTAAGGACATGGGACATAAGACTTATCATCCGATAGCCATCACATTGTGAGGCGTTGGGTTTCTTTGGCAGGGTTACGAATGTTGATTTTAGCCAATCTGACGGTATCTTGCTTGAGCTATATATTTTGTTAAACAGTGCTGTTATTAAATCTAGGCTTTTGCTTTCATTATCTGCAATTAATTAAAGTATTTCAACGTTGATTTTATCGGGACCGGTAACTTTTCCGTTTTTCTGTGCGTTTATTGCATGAAAAACTTCGCCTCTAGTTATTTCTGGAGCCTTTTCATTCGTTATGTGATCTAACGGTGGTGGGGAACAAGGTCTGTCATCATTAAAAAGTGTTTCGATATATTTTTTCCATCTCGCAAGCTTAGCTTCTACTCCTAGAATTATATCGTTGATATCGTCTCTTAAGATTGCTACTTGTTTTCTGTGTCTGTAAGTCTTTTATTTTTTTATGAACATTGAAGGTGTCATATTTTTCTTGAAATTGTTCTATTTCTTGGCCTTTGTCGACATCCAGATCTCCTTCGCTTCCCGGCACTTTTTCCTAAAGATCCTATTTAAACGTTTGTATTCTGTCGGATTAGCCTTGTATTTCGGTCTGTCATTCATGAGGTCTAATATTTCCTGTGTCATCCATTCCTGTTTTTTGTTGGTTGCCGTGAATCCGATGTCTTTTTCCTGGATATTTGTTATTTTAGTCTTTAAATCATTCCATGTCTTTTCAATATCCTCTTCCCGCACAGGTAGGTACCTCTACCATTTCTAGTTCTTTTTCGATCTTAGAACTTATCTCTTTCTTTTTCTCGGGGTTATTCAATTTCAATTCAAAAGGTTCTCAGGAAGACCTGAAACAATCATTCCTCCCATTCGCGACCTAATGGTATAAATCTTACAATTCTAAGGAACAACTATTTCTCCAACTCCTGGAAGAAATCTCACATCATTGTACTTGGAAAGCCGGGCAAGGATGTCAAGTCCCCAGATAATTACAGACCAATAAGTTTACTCCCGACCATTAGTAAAATTGTAGAGAATAAAACATAAAGAACAGATTGTGCCAAAAAAATACAGGACTTGGAAAATGGGAATCATCCCCGATTTCCAGTTTAGCTTCACGTTGCGACTGGCCCTGTAATGCTGAACATAGAAAGAGCCTTTGATAAGATTTGGCATGCGCGACTTACAGAAAAGATGGGAAACTGGAACACATCTACAAAATGGTCATGCTAACTTATAGGTACGCAGTGATCTGGCAGACCGGGAATTCCAGGTCAGCATAGGCTCACAACTCTTAGCAGCAAGAAGGATTAACGCAGGGGTACCGCAAGGTTTAGTACTGGGTCCAGCACTGAACCTTGAGGTTCATTCGGGTAACTTCCAGTTGTTCGCAGCCTTGAAGTGCTAATTCCTCCTCTACCAATTGCACTGGGGTATCTACTTCGAGTCCTCTCAGGTCTATGTTTATCTTTTAGTCTTCTTCTAATTTACATGTATATTATAAGGTCTTTTTTGGCTGTTTAAAAAGGCCGTTATTCTCATATGTTCTTTTGGGGTAATAAAAAAGATTTTCGTATTTTCTGCTTTCATTTTCTTCGCTATTTTGAAGGTAATGTTATTTCTTTTAAGCTCTTCCTTGCCGTAGATTACGACTGGTGGTGTTTGTTTAACTTTTTGGGCAAAACTTGTTGTTTCTTCTGCTTCCATATCTTGCTCGTTTCAGATTTCTTCGTTTCCCATGCGAGAACTGAGCTCTGCGCTGGTCATTTTCCTTTTTGAATGCTCTAATTCTTTGTCCCTTTGTGTACGTTTTGCGATTTCCACCTTTTTTCTCGCTCCCTAGTTTTTAGTCAGCTGAAGGAATGCTGCATTCAGCAACTACAAGTGCTTTTTCAAAGTATTTACTTCATCTTTAGCTTTGGTGATTTCGTCTTGGGCTCCAGAGAGCTCTTTCCTGAGTTTGTTGATTTTCACATCTTTATTTACCTCGAGGAAAGTAATTTTCTTCTTTTGGTGATGGTTAGGAAGAGCCCCGGCATCTGTCGATTTTTCACTTCTTTTTCCCACTTTATTGTTTTCGTCCAATAGGTACTTAATTGAATACTAAATCCATAGTATAATTGAATAGGGAACTTTACAATTTTTTTTTAATTTTTTTAAATCATTTATTTATGCCTTGAAAGAGTATTCCCCAAATATTATTCCCTAAAACTCAATAATAACTTGGTGAAAAATGTTTAAAGTTTCGCGCGAATTAAAAGCATTTCAAACGACCTTAAATCTGGATGACGTCACGTAGTATGATTTTGCGTTAAGCCGGCGCCACACAATGTGTCCAACCATTGGCTCCAACGTTAGATCCAACGTTGGGTACAGTGTTTTTTGCTCTAGCATTCGGCAAATGCACATACCTACTTACTTTTGTTACTATAATAGTTGGGGAGCTGGCGTCAAAAACATGCAAGAGTTTTCGCAAGGCGGATATTTTCAAAATAGGTCGTACTTTAGTGCTAGAATGCTAGTGTACAGTCAGCACTCACAGTTCCGGGACAGCTGGCTCTGGGACGCGGGCAAAGTTGTAATTTTAAGAAGCATCTAAACTGTTTTCTCAAAGCTCAAAATTTATAGAAATTTTGCACATTATCTGTTTGAAGGTCACAGATAACGTATGTAAATCGTCAGACGTCTAGTTCGTTGCAAAAAGGGGGTCAGACGTCCTCAAAGTTCTTATTTTATGGCATTTTCTTCAAATATATTTGTCAAATACCTGCAAAAATATATTTTGACAGGACACCGAAGAAAATGCCACAAAATAAGAACTTTGAGGACGTCTGACCCCCTTTTTGCAACGAACTAGACGTCTGACGATTTACATACGTTATCTGTGACCTTCAAACAGATAATGTGCAAAATTTCTATAAATTTTGAACTTTGAGAAAACAGTTTAGATGCTTCTTAAAATTACAACTTTGCCCGCGTCCCAGAGCCAGCTGTCCCGGAACTGTGAGTGCTGACTGTACACTAGCATTCTAGCACTAAAGTACGACCTATTTTGAAAATATCCGCCTTGCGAAAACTCTTGCATGTTTTTGGCGCCACCTCCTGGACTATAAACATATCACAAATTATAGATTGGCGGATTGCCCTTTGGAATTTCCTTCTTTGGTCATAATTAATAGGTACCATATCGTTTTATTTATATAATGCTAGGCTAATCATTGAATTTAAGCGAAGTAAACCAATTCTAATATTGATAGAATTTTAAAAAATCAGAGAAAAACGTAAATAAACACAGCTAACGGGTATTTATTATGTAGAGTTCGAGTAAACGCTCGGAGTTGCTGTTTTGTTCTTTTATCCCTGTTCTTCTCATCATAAGAAAAAAAGACGGAAAATGCTCCGAGTGCTCAGTGTTTCAAGACGAACTCACGGTGTGATGGACGGTTGCTGACAGACACTGACAAATCATACCGTCACGACCAGTACCAGAGCGTTTTTTCCCGCTGGAAATAATTTGAATTTTTCTGCATTTTCAATTCCTTATTGTGGCCGTTTGCGACAAAAAAAAATTGTTTTTTTCGCTGATATAGGTTTTAATTAATGTATTCTTATGATTTATAGTAATATTTTCATGTTTAAATTTTTTGTCAAGTTCCCTATTGCAGGACGGCGCACTTTTGTTTATCATCAAACGACACGGAATCGATGATGACTCGACGGCTGAGAAAAAGTTATAAGACTGGTATAGCCTTATCGGCAAATATTCAATATCTTGATTTCACCAAGAATTGCACGACCGACCGTGTCAACCGAATAGATGTTAAACAACATCGGCGATAACACACATCCCTGACGAACTCCTTTTCTTATTGTAGTCTGGTCAGATATGCGTTACCGTCAATGCTTACTCGAGTTAGTGTTGGACTCATAGAGCTATTGTATGAGAAATATTATCAGGTGGTGAGAAACTCCCATGGAGAGAAGAATTTCGCATAGTTTAGGCCGTTGTCAAATGCTTAAGTCCACAAAGCAGATATGGACTGGATGTAATGCTCTCCGGCCTTTTCAATAAACTGTCTCAAGTTCAAAATCTGTTCGCGTGTACCGTGTCCCATTATGAAACCTGCATGCTCTGGAGATATTGGCCACTCCACAAAACCCTCCAAACGAGACTGCAGAATATTCAGCATAACCTTCCTTGCAAGAGAGATCAATGAGAGTAAAAATAGACGATAGTTGTTTGGGTTTACCGGGGATTTTTTTTTATCAAATGGAACCAAGATTGAAGTGCTCCATACGTCTGGCCAGACACCGAAGGACCAAATTTTCTCACAAATACGATGTGAGAAATGTAGGCCGTCGCCCATCATCATCCAAGCAGTTCAGAGTTTCGGCAGAAAGGGCATCAATGCCTGTCGCTTTACCGGCTTTTAGTTCCCTAACGGCATGTTCCACTTCGAAAAAAAAATATATATCCGGCTCACCTTCGTAATTGAACAAAGGAGCTTGATGCGGTAACAACGGAATAAAGGTTCTCACAATATGTACGCCACACCTCAATAACCTCGTCCAAGCTGGCCAAACTGACCAAGTTTTGGGTTTAAAGTCCCGACAGCGACAGTTTATCTTCAGGAACGTCTCTCCTTGGTGGTCAGTATTAGCGCGGGCCTGTATCGCCATACATAACTCCCGCAGAAAGGATTTCTTATCTTGACGACAGAAGATCTCTCCACATGCTTCAACGACCGACAATGTGTGGGTGGTAATCCATGGCTGTTTAGGTTAAGTTGCTTGGGAATGCAGCTTGTGTAAGAACTAAGAACATTTTTAAATGTTAACCACCTATTATTAAAAGGAGTTCATCTGCCTTAAGGGACAATTCCTCATCCCTAAAACAAGAGATTTGTTAACTCCGCCAACCGAAGCTGTTGGTTGACAAAAGGCTACTGCTTATACCGGCAGGATTTCGGTTCCTTTTAAACACTTTTTACGACACGCAGGATATACGTTGGGAGATATTCTAATCCGCTCCCACACAGTGATTCATATTCGTTGTTAAATAGTTAAATATTCTCATGTACCTATTCTTTTGTAGATTCCTGAGACCTTTGGAACCACCTCAATTAAACAATGAAGAATTCGATATGACAGCTGAACAATGTCTTAGATACGTTTCTTTAATACCATTCACGGAAGGCAATCATTTTTACCAACATATTTGGTTGACATCACATGTAAGTAGTTTTTAAGTGACTGCGTTGGAAAATAGCTGAAACATCTTTCATATTTTCACTCTACTTAGTTTACTATTTGATGCAGTTTTCCATCTGTACTAATAAAAAGATGTTTTTTTCATCTTGGATACTACAAAATTCCTCCTGTATATTTTCAATTTGATTCACAGCGATAATAATTATTATTGTATAGTTTTCAATGTGTATTTTGTATTGTTCTATATTCCTTAAACTGTGGTATTTTTTAGCAATTTTTAAATTTAATGATTGGATCCATAGTCGACCACTGTGTTACACTAACTTGTTTTCTATTGGCCTTAAAGCTAGACGTATATTTGTTGTTTGGTAAGTTTTTCAAAAAAAAAAAATTAACCTAAAGTGTAAGTTTCTGTTTTTTAAGGCTATGGTTTACCGCGTGGCTCTACTTGCTACGTGCTCATGTCTGAATATACCAGAGACTCAGATATACCAAATTATTCGATTTTGGATGTAGTCTATAATGAAAAAATTAATTTAACTGATCCTTATTGTCCGTTACAGAGAATTTATTGTGTGGTTAATGGAGAGAATGTAAGAATTTCTGAGCAAAAATAATTTCTTTTAAAACACACCACACATATATTTTTTTAGGTTTGGGGCAACGTCCAGAGAACTCAAAATTCAGCTTTTCTCCGGTTCGATTTGACAAGAAAATCCGATTGGTGGCCTTTGTTCGATAACAACATTTCAGCGCCAACCAATTTTGTTAATAATAATATAAGTTTTGCTTCGGACAGAGATTTCGAAGACGTCGAAAGACAGTTGGACAGGAAATTGAAAAGGAAATTTGCCAGATGGAGACCGATGCAGAGGACGATTTTTAATCATCGGTAAATATATAGAATTTTACTTTGATAGAACCGAAAATAATTCAATAATAATCATTAATTGTGGTTTGATATTATACTAAATAACCGCAGAATATTTAACAATTTATTTTTGTGTTTCGTATTCAATTATAAGTATGAATCTTAGTTATAATGTAGCTGGAATAAGATCAATATAAGAACCTCTTATCACCTTTCCGATCACTTATGAAAAAGTCAAGATATTAGGGGTATCCCAAAATGCAACATTTTCGAAATAAAACACCTTCCATCTGAAAAATAGAAAGGGCAATAACACGATCTGAACAAACTGATTGTTATCACATAAGGTTGATGGCAATAATTATTTAGACAAACCTCAAGTGATTTCGATCAGTTTGTTCAGATCGAAAAAATACCCCTGTATCTTTTGTTTGAACCGCAACCACACCCTGTACATACAGTATAGTTAACGCAACATTATTTATAAATTTGGTTTCTTCTCATTCTTATTAAAGAATTTCTTGAATGTCAATTTCGCGTAAAACACACGGGAGTGTATTTTCTACGACCTTGCGTCGACCGAGACAGCTGTTGAAGATTTGGATTTACACACACTAGATCAATGGTACTTGATATGCACGTTGCATTTTTACCGGTTCCCTGTTTTACGCTCAAAAAGTCTATCAGCTGTATGCAACATGCTCTTTTAATTTTAAAGCGCTTATCAAAACTGCTGCCTTTAAAAATTTGTATGGCTTAGAATACACATTTTTAAAAGTGACCAGTTTTTAAAAGCGCTTTTAAGTTAAAAGAGAATGTTGTATACAGCTGTTAGTCTTGTACCGTTAAAAAGGGACCTTGAGTGCCTTAAGTCGATGGTGATACGTTGGTGGTTGTGGAGAACCGTTTTCCAGGGGATTCCTATATATACACACAGCTTATAAGAAAACCCAGGTGGGTGGTAATAACTTTTGTGTGTTTCGATAACCCTATGGTATCAATTTCATTTCTATTTCTATTTGTTTGCGCGATTTTCCAGTCGCAGTCCAGTTCATTAAATTTCAAATACTATTGCGTAAACAGTATAGGTACAGGGTTCTTTTTCTAATTATGACTTAGGTACTTTTAGGAAAAGCTACAGAAAATATTGTTTAGTCATATCAATAAAAACAACAGTTTTGAATTATTTGTCTTAAATGATTCAGTTCCTAAAATTTGGAATAATAATCAAGAATCTCCAATATCACATTGTGGTTTTTGTTCCAGAATATCTGACACTTTCAAGAGCATTCTAAATCACTTTGAAATGAACGCCATGTTCGGAAAGAGCAATACCGAGGCCACTTTGGAAGTTAACAAGGCAACAGCTCAATACAATGTGAGTTGAGCAATATTTTTTGTATACTGTCATGTAGGTTTAAAAGTCTTTAATCAGTGGACGATCTCTTGTCTGATCGTCAAATACACTGAAAAAAGTCGTTTTCTATTTCTTTTCTTCTTCCAAAAACTTTCCACTTATTGTTGATGCCATCATGGTCTCAAACTAAACTAAACTTTTCTTCAGTGTAATGCCGTTTATTTCACATAACTCAATAATAATTGTATAATAAATAGTCATGTTAATCATTACTTACCAAATTTTTTTTCTCAGATCAATGGCCTCATCCTCAACTTTCCCTACACAAGTCTGACAAATATACTGAAAAAAATTAAAGAACTAAACATCCACGTTCAGTCACAAGAAATAACGGAATTTGCGTTGAGCATCCTCATTCATTGTTATCCTGGACAAGTCCTATCTGTATGGATATTTATTGGAGCAATACATAATAAGTTTGATTTTTAGTTAATTGATATAGCGGACCACTATTATTGTTATAGGTATTTTATTTTACTATTGGGGTATTATTCAAGTACATTTGTAGCGTGTGAACTTTGCTTTATTTAAAAAAATAATATTTTTAACAAATAAATTAATTTAATAGAAATTATTTAAACTATTGGCCCAAATAAAGGCCAAATGTCTATAATCTGGAAATAAATATAGTGGTCTAAATATTCAGCAATAATTTGTTTTATTCCGTTAAAAATGGCAGAGAGGGAATTGATAATTTGAACTTAGGTAAGTCAAAATATGATATGTTCTGCTCAGGTTTAAAGTATAACAAGACGGAATAAAAATATATCACCAGTAATTTTTGGACCACTTTGTACAATAAGATAAATAAACAAAATATACAGACAAAATCTCAAAATACGTTATCACTTCCTTATAATTGCTAATAATAGGTTTTAGCCACATTTAAAGCTGACTTTTGAACCTAACTTAATTTAAATTTTCAAAAAACAAATTGTAGCAACATTGGATTCTAATTACTCCTAGCTCTATAATATTTTTGCACACAAAAAATAAATTATTGATAGGTCCAAAACGAAAACAAAACAAATCTAAAAAAGATTATTCGAATGATTACCTACAGCCGCAGGCGGTACTATAACCTCTTCCGCTTCTAACGCTGTCTCTGCAAATTGTGCATTCTCTTCGACGGTACTGGTACTGCTCCCCACGCTACTCGTCGAGGTTTCTTTATTTTTATTGCCCAGCGACACTGTCACTGAACATGATTGGCTGTTAACGTCTTCGCTGGAAGGACATTCAAAGTGGACACAATGGAATACCTGTAGAGAAAAATTATATAATTATGGGTAAGTTGATGGAAGTCTCGAAAATTGAAAATACATATTTAAATTTTCTTGAAATAAGCAAAAATTTAGCATGGAAAGCTTGTTTTGAAATTTATTTTTCCTACGAACACATACGAAAATGACAAAATTCGCACTAGCTGGTTCTTTGGAAAGCGCTTAATATCACATGCGTGCAGAAAGTACTTTCAACACACGTGTGGATACTGTTGACATTATTTATGATTGACATGAAAATTTACTTTCAATACGTGGATTGGAAGTACTTTCAGCACGTGTGTTGAAAATGAAAAGAAATAAAATAAACGAAAATTAGTGTAAATCGATTTCTGGTCCTAGGATAAAGACTGTACATCACTTGTGGGAAAGCGTCTTTCATACACTCGTGTGATTTTTCGCGAAAAAAACCCTCGTGTGAAACTTGTCACTTTCTACACTCGTAATGTAATATACTATTTATCACATTTTTATAAATAACTCGTTCAACTACAAATTTCCAATCATAATAAACCTATCTATTTTATGTGTTAATCTGACGATCAAACATATAATCCAATGTATTTACTATTTATAGTTATATCACTGTTTAATTCCTACCTCGTTTGCGGTATTATGCGTCCCAACAATTCGTATAAACACAACGGGCCTCTCAGGAAACTTGATGACCTGCCAAGATTTGCAACTTTCCCGGGTGTTGTCCACCACCATTTCCCATTCCCATATATTGATCGACGATTCGATGTAGTAGCTATAGCTCCTGTCGTCGCAGTCCCACAGGAGAAGTCGCAAGCTGGATATTATGTGAGGCTGGCCCAGTTGAATCAGAATAGCTCCCGAGCCTAATTGGTGACAGGTGTAGCCGGAATCCCAATCGTATTGTTTGGTGTCGCCGTTGAGAAGAGCGTTTCTTGCACGACTAAAATAAGAAATGAAAAATTACACAAGTGTCTGAAATTTAACTACAAGTACACTTCTAAAAAAAAATCACCATTTCATTTAACTTGTTCCCATGAAAGTGTAAGTTTTCCAGTTGGATTACATAAGTTGATAATATGTGAGCTATATTAACCAATTTTCACACTAATGAATAATCTATTTTTTATAGGCTTTAATGAGCATACCCCTTCTATCATGATTTTTTAAAAACATTGTTGTACCACAGAAACCACAGTTTCCAACCTAACCTATTAACATACAACCAAAAAAAGACTATGTACCAAAAAAATGTCCTATTAGTTCAGGAACTTTTGACAAAAATTATAATAATGCCTTTCGAAAAAACACCAATCAACAATTTTCGAAACCAACACCTATGCCCGGAGTTTAAGTGCAACCTCGAGCACAAAATCAACATCAGTACAGACCCAATAATTATTTCAAACCTGACCCACAGGGAGGCCCTTTAAAATATACGATCCAAGAGATTAATAATATCTTTGAAATAGAATTACCTGACCTTGATGAAAATTTCGAAACTGAAGAATGTTCCAAAAATCAAAATTATTATAAAGAGACAAATTTTGAAGAAAATCAAGTCGAAACTGAAAACAAATATTTCCAGTTACCAGCCTTGGATGCAATGAGTCAGCATTAACTTTAAATACTTATCAAATCAACCAACTACCTTTTATTCAAATAGACTATCCACCATACCAGGTGTCCCACTAAGGTCGGCCAGGTACGATATTATGGAAAGCATAGACCTTACGGCTTCGGGATTTTTTTTTCTTCACTAAATCGGCCAAGAGAAATTGATGGAAATTATTTTCAAGTTTCTAGGATGACCGCTAGGGGGCGCAATTACGATGATATAGCTAAAAATTCAACTTTTCTCAAGAAATCGCTATATTAAGATACTGTTTTAACAACAGAAATCAAAAGTTCATTAATTTTTGCGCCAGTTTGGTTATTAGGCTTTTTTTCGTATCTTCAGTAATAAGGGTGGGGGAAACTGGTGAAATTTTTTTTTTAGAAATTGTTGTATCTTCCATACCCCTCATTCAAACTCATTCAATTTGGGTTTATTTAGAAGAGAATTTCATTGTTATTAAGAACACCACTTCGTTCGAGGTCGATAGTTCCCACCGCGTCTTCTAGAGGGCGCTGTTTATTCAAGATCCAGTTTTTTCTAATTTTCATGAAAAATCCAAATGGCATAATATTATTTTTGTATTGCTATGCTTAAAGAGCAAAAAAATATCTACATTTTGGCGCAAACCGCAATTCAATATTTGCATTCGTTTTCAAGTTACTATGGTCTCCATAATATCGTACCTGGCCGACCTTAGTGGGACACCCTGTATAAATAATTATTTGACATAGGAATTAATGCCTCTTTAATGAGAGCCTCAATCACAGACGAATATTTTTCAAATTCTATAATTAATTCACGAAAAAAGTTAACAACTTGTATGGGTATAAGAAAAACCCAAGGAGAAGTCAATGTTCCAATTTTACAAAAATATAATATTCAAAACAACATTGAAATGATAATGTATATTTTCCATGACTATTTTGATGGAATTATTGGAATCAAAGCATTACAAAAAAATTATTTAAATATACCTAGATTTTTCTAATTTGCTTCTTTCTAATAACGAAAATCAGAATGTCGAGATTCTAAGTAACTCGATTCAAGTATGTTATTTCAGCATAAATATAGCTAATGGCGTTGAAACTCTTACACTCCCAATAAAAAATTAAACATATTATATTCCCTCGACAATAACAACCGTATTAAATGAGATGGGTACCTTTTAGAATTCCACAACTCAATGAATAAGCCTACTATACCCTTTTATAATATTAATAACTTGGCGGATATAAGTTTACCTTATGCTGATAAAGAGTTTTAGATATTTTATATTGAACAAATTACTTCATTACAAAATGATGCATATGTAAATGACCTTATAAAGTCACTGCGTATAGTCATTTAAACTCGGAGGAATTTGATGCTTTAAAACGCGTAATTAAAGCTTTTCCTAATATTTTGCACAAGCCAAATGAAAAATTGACATTTACCAATCAAGTTAAACATGAAATTAAAATAACAAATGAAATATCAGTGCACACAAAACGTATAGATATCCAGTTGTGCATAAACAAGAAGTAAATTCTCAAATAAAGAAAATGTTAGAAGATAACATAATCACACCATCCTGTAGTTCCTGGTCATCCCCTGTATGGATAATACCTAAAAAAGAAGATGCCGCAGGCATACAAAAATAAATAAAATAAATAAATAATCTTTATTGTCAGCTTTAAGCTAACAATAATAAACATAAAGTACATAATTTAACAATCATTTTATAATTTAACAATTAACTGCGATCGGATATACCAAAGTCTTGTAGATTCTCTGGTAAGGATCCCTGCACAATTTTGAATATAAAAATAAGTTCAATGGAATGGACGATACCACATAATGATGTGGTATCGTCCCGACTTTACACAACCTTGAAAAGGAAAAGCGGGAATAGGACAGCAAAAAAAAGACATTTTCATCTATTCAGGGACGTTTCGACCATATATTTTGATATTCTTCCAAATATAACATAATTTCTAAAAATTCAATGTGTCTTATATGTATTATGTAAAATAAGTGTTTGTAAGTAAATTGTCTGTTTCACACTTAGAACCCCCACGGCTTGTAACATTCAGCCATACCTATGAATAAAGTGTAGCAAATGCTTTTACTCTACCTCCATTTCTTTTTGCTGCATTAAAGCTGAATATGTTTATCTCAAAGCATTAATTTGCTTCTGTTGTATGTTTAACAAACCGGGGCTCGACTTTAGCACAAATTGCACAAGATGCAGTCATTGAAGTCATATCTTTCACAGGGGAAAGAAATATTTTTAGATATGTTCCAATGTATTATTCTTGTGGGCCTAGAATGAAAAAGTTCTTAGTGTGAATCGTACCAACTGGATCCACAAAATCTTCAGAAAATGTCAGTAACAATATTATGTCTTTATTCTTTATACTTGTACGTCGATTACAGTTAAGAATAACATGTAATGCCATGTTTTGTCTCTTTTTTATTTGTGTAATTTCAGAGTTAGGTTGCATGATTGGTAAAAGTTAGATGTTGGTTGATAATAACTCCCAGATACTTGAATTCCGTCACTTTTTCTATTTGAATGCCATCTATTTCTATACCGTGATGTAACTGATCCTCTCGCGCCGTGCCTCTATTTTTCACCATCATAAACTTAGTCTTTTCAATATTTAATTTCAGATTATTGTATTGTCATCACCTTGAAATGGATTTCAGTTCTTCGTTGATGGTTTTGACTATACCGGGTGTTTTTCAAAACCTGCTCACCCCTATAACTTTTTTATTTTACCAAATAAACAAATGAAATTTGGTGTGTTTATTTATTACCCGCATGTGCATTATTTGACGTATTCAATTATTTATTATCACTTCCGGTTTCACCGGAAGTGGTCAGAACTTTCTTATTTTAAATGAGACGCCAGGTATGTTTTTCCTCATTTCAATAGAAAACTACATCACGATTACAATGACACCTCATTTGTCACTTTTTGACATTTCATCTTCAAATTATTAAAGTTTTCACTTTTCAATCTAGAGCGCCATGAATTAATTGAAATGCTTAATTTTGTTCCAAGGAACCTGGAAAAATTTATTTGATCTTATTTTGTATTTTATATCCTCTACAGACTCAAAAAATAGAAGAAGTGCATTTTTGTAATTATGTCAATTTTTTCAAATGGAAAGGGTGTGGCCACAGCCTCCTACATTTAACAAGCCATGAAGTTAAAAAGGCAACACCGCAATCTTACCGACAAGTGGTGCTGGTGGTGTTTGTTTGTATAAATATATATTTTTTATTTTATTAATATGAATCACAAAAAATGCATAATTTATTGTACCAAAGGGCCAAAAACAGTAATTCAATCAATAATATAACTATTTGTGTAAATAAGAACAGTAAATAATTGATTTAAATTGTTAGCGCCATTTAATTTGAATTTGAATTTCGCGCGTTATTATGATGGATGGCGTTGACAGCAGTGACATTGTTTTGAAATTCTTGACTTGACAGATGGCTAGAGAGAGAGGAGGTGGATGAGAGGGGGGTTCACGACATCCGGTTGTTAGAAATTAGTTAGTAAAATTATGTATTTTGAGTGAAAAATAAATGCTGTTTTGTTCGAAATAAGTTTACTTTATTTTATGGAAAAGTGACCAGCCAGTGCCCAACAAATCAGAAGTGGGATTTTAGACGCCCTATGAATAATGGCACATGAAGGTGAAAAACATAACCTCGATGAAGGGAGCAGCGCCAGTGTTCCTAACGAAGATTTTGAGTCGTTTTTTTCAAGCCAGCAAATGAATTTTTCTCAAGGAAATCCGCTCCAGGGCGCACCACCACAAGCAGATATTAATGCGCTAATAAATACAATGAATACAGTTTTACAACAGAATGCTATGTTGATTAGAATGATACAAAATAATCAAAATGTACAGACACAGTCACAAACACAAAACGTTCCAGCCGACCATCGAAATTACCATTTGTTACCGGATTTTTCCAAAACTATTGCCAATTTTAACGCAGAAGATTTGTCTCAAAGCCGACATTGGCTTGAAAGTTTAGAGAGCACTGCTGCCTTGCACCATTGGCCGAATGAATTCACTCTCGAAACTGCAAGGACTCATTTAGTTGGACCAGCATTACACTGGTACGAATCAAGGAGAAGTAGTATTCATACCTAGTTGGGATCAGTTTAAGACCATTTTTTCTCATACATTTGTGCATGATAAAAATGTTACATCACTATGGAGAACAATGACTTCTAGAGTACAAGGCAGTAAAGAAGATATTTCATCATATTTTCATAATAAAGTAAGATTATGTAGAGCCCTAAATCTTAACTTTGGGG